TAAAGTGAAAGCCTTGCTCAGAGGGTCCTGGTTGGAACCAAGACCCTGGAACCCTCCAAGGCAGCTTGGGGCTCCAACCCAGGGAAGAAAAGTAAAGTCCTTATTGCACACCACGGTGCACAGGGCTACCAGTGGCTGGTGGGCCCAGAGGAAGCCAGAGACGGTTGGAGCCATAGCAAGAAAGGAGGCAACTCTCCAGGAGAGAGAGAAGGACCCTTCAGCACAACCCTGGAGTCGTGAGTTACCAGGCCTACTGTGAGTTGATGGAGTTTAAGGTTATGTCATTTGTATTGAAATATTAGTTCAATCTTGCGGGGCTGAGTATTTGTTTAAAATGAAGATATAGAAGTGCATATGTTAGTATATGAGTATTCAATGTTTATATGAATTTAGATTTAAATGGAGTTCAATATTGTATGCTATATTTGTGTATCGGTATACTTGTAAATTTATAATATACTATGAGTGCGTGACTTTTAGTGAGGCCCGGCTGGGATCCTCCACTGTAGTATTTACCTTTGATTCACCTGTTTTCCCTAGTGGTGTGTGTGTGTGTGTGTGTGTGTGTGTGTGTGTGTGTGTGTATATAGAGAGAATAGGTTAATAGTCTTATAGAATATGTAAATGTGTGTATATATGTGTGTGTGTGTGTGTGTGTGTTTATATGCATATTTATCTGTTAATGTTTTGCAAATATTAATAAACTTGTATATAATTAAGATATATAGTGTCCTGGTTTGGCTCTCTATAGGGGAAGGAGGGAAGCGGTGTGCAGCTAGCAGTTTTCCCTGCACTGCATCTGCCCTGCCATCATCTCCCTTCAATTGGAGAAGGGGGTACACAAGCAGGTACACCCGGGTTACACAATTATAGTTTCCTCAACTGTAGTCATTTGAATACATTATTTTCAGGGTTCAAATTACACTTTGATTCTTGGGGAGGGTCAGAGGTAGTTGCAGCAGCAGCGGTGGTGGAAGCAGCAGAGAAGCTGCTCGGGCATGAGCTCCAGGCCGCTGCAGCAAAAAGCACCCAGCAGTGACAAGGGGGAGCG